TCTCATAGACAGCTCTCAGTTGCTCCAACGTTTCGTCCAGACGTAGTCAGTGTAGATTTCAGAGGTAATCTTTTGCAAACATTCCCAAACAATCTTACAGAGAACATAAGATATCTTAATTTAGCAGACAACTACATAAGAAGGATAGAGACAGGAACTTTTTTTCAATTGCATCGTTGGAAAATATGAAAAACTTGGAAAATCTTACCATGTCAAACAATAAGCTGCGCGTAATCGATATGGGAGCTTTCAGATATGCCACAAAATTGCGCAATTTAGACCTGTCATACAACTCAGAACTATCCCTTTCTATTATAAAACTTAATGTTGCAGACAACGTGCTTGGTGTTGGCGTCTACTTATGGAATTTTGGCCAACTTTCGAGTCTTCAAATACTCAATGCAAGCTTTCAGTCCAGCTTTCACACAATTCAAGACTTTGATTACGCTTTAAATTGTCATGAAAATGGTTATGAGCAGTGCACTTCGCTTTCCTGTATACCAAAAGTAGAAAGAGAACATTTTGAAGTTAGATACCCAGATACTAAGTCATACCTCGCATCGTCAAGAAACGTAACATTTTACCTTCCACCTAACCTTCGTAAATTTTACTTTCATGATAAAATGTATAAATTTGTTTTAATGAAATTCGTTCTAAACACAACAGGCAAATTAACGCATATTTACTGTCAAAATAATATTATGTATGAATTAGTTGGGCCTCTCCTTGGAATGAATAGCATGCAATACGCAGATTTTTCAAATAATTTCTGCAGTTTTATTTCACAAGATTTCTTTGTTGACTTTGCGAATGTTTTGCATTTAAATCTTTCAAACAACATACTTGGTCTTACATTACAGAACGACATCAGTGGTAAAATACATGTATTTCAAAATCAAAAAAGATTAAGAACCTTAGATTTATAATTTAACAGAATTGTTGAACTTCCTCAAAACATATTTAATTGCGCACTTGAAATAAGACAGTTAGACTTAAGTTCGAACTCGCTTAATATTTTCGATATCACCATACATCATTGGTCGAAACTTTACTTGTAAGATCTTTCCTCAAACAAACTCTCAAACTTGAACACGGATACTCGAAAAAGTTTAGACAGAATCTCGTTACAAAGAAAAATTACACTAAACTTACAAGGAAACCCCCTGCAATGTTCATGCAGCAATATAGAATTTCTGTATTGGATTGCTCAGTCAAAGAACATTGTATTCTTACAATTGAGTAATTACACGTGTTTGTTCCAGAATGCATCTAAACATGAAATCGGTAACTTTTCCCCACTCATGGTGCAGCTGAAAAAAAGAATGTTCTTCCTATACATTGATTATTGCCATAACCTCATGTTTATTGTTTGTTTTTGTAACCGTTGTCATCAGTAGCATCATACATCGATACAGATGGAAATTGCGGTACTTATATTTCGTCACCAGGGGAAAGGATAGAAATCAAAAGACTTCCAAAGACCAATCAGTCAGTTCAAAATACCATTTTGATGCTTTTATCTCATATGCTAATAACGAAACAGAATTGCCCTTGTAAAACATTTAGAAGAAAATTATAAGCTTCGATTATGTCTGCATCAAAGAGATTTTTTACCAGGGACGGACATTGCAGATAATATTACAAACGCTATACATACAAGTAAACGAACAGTATACATATTGACTTCACATTACTTAAAATCTCACTGGTGCATTTACGAAATGAACATGGCACGAATGGAGACTGTGTATTCCAGGAATGGTTCCAATGTTCTATTCTTTGTCATTCTTCAGAAAAGTGTCGCTAAGGAGTTGCCATGGAAATGGATGGACTTAATTGAAAGCAAATCGTACATGGATTTCCAGGAGACGATGAACAGGATTTGTCAGTTTTTCGAACAAAGCTTGCAGAAATTCTTCTAACAGAAGAATTCTGATTTGATCTTCGACTCAGTTGAGTCATCAAGACAATTTTTTTGTTTATTTTTCAATTTTTTAGTTTTCAAGGAATAGCATCAGTATAGATCCTCGAATGCTTGAAAATTCTTTTCTTTTTGATGACTTTTAATGTTTTGTGTGACCGAAGATGTATTATATTTTCATCATTGGTGATCATGTATTAAATACATATATGTATAAAGATATTAGAAACTGTTTTTCCTTAAAACTTTTCGTTTGAATTCAATGGGATAATAATAAAAATAATAAATTCAGAGAAGATAGCCCGGTTAGTACAAGGTACTATTCTTCTTTCTTCTGAATTTCAAACTACATACATAATAAAAGAGATAAAATCACACAATCACTGATAAACTTATAATGACAAGCTCCTGATTCAATAAAATGTTTGACAAAATCGCTTGAATAATATAAAGGAGAAATAAGGAAGACAATGAATATACATAGTGTAGTATACATAGTACATGAAGAAATTGAATAGATAATTTATAAAAGAATTTTCGGAATCTCTATCCACAGACTTTGGCTAATAATAAAATTTGTTTACATTTTTTCTAAAAACAGAAAGAAAAGGGGATAATTTTACATTTAAATGTAGGTCATTCCATATGCGTACGCCTGAATATTGACGAGAATTTTTGAATAGGATTGTTCAATGATTTGGTAAACGGAGATTATAATTTGATTCTGAACGCAGGGAATAAGAATATAAGCTATGAAAAAAAAAGATTCCTAAGAAATTCGGGGCTCTTACCGCGTATGAATGAAAATAATTATTGTTAATTGATAAAATGTCGTAGTCGAATATAACAAAGAATACAAGCACACTTCTTACATTTCCGAAATAGTTTTTAACATTTTGTTTGACAAGATTGCATAATAAGTGCTTATGGAGCGATTGATTTTTTTAAAACTTTTGTGTCGTTTTTATTTCTCTTTCTATCTAGCACAATATTTATATTTATTGTAAAAATAGGGATTGCCAGTACAAATTCCCTCTCTTGTTCGTCTTTTTCCTAGTCTATTCCGGGAAAAATAGTACTATTAGTCTAATTATTTCAGTCAATATCAATTTGCTTAATCATTAAACACTAAGTTACTTTTAATTATAAATTAAATTTTAATGCACGCTTCCTTAATTGAAAATTTTCATTTTTCCGTTTGATAAGTGGTACATGTATGAATAAGATATTCGCGTCAGGGGAGAGGAAAAAGAAGCTTTAATAAACATGTGTGGTCTGCAGAGTTTTCATGTTTTAAGTAAAGATAAAGCGTATTGTTTGCTCAGAACATTATAAAATGTTATCTGATTTATGATATAATACATTATTCGTTCAGTTCTTTGCCCATACTAGTATGCCTTTTCCTGTGTGTAACTTTTTAGTTGTCTAAATAGCTAAGAAAGTTGTATTTAGTATATATATCCACATACATTATTAGTGTACTAATTCGACTGTAATTAAAAGATAAAAGATAAAATTTTGATTCCTGTAACATGGATTTCATGTTTAATTATTACGAAGTTCCATAAATTTATTATATCTTATATATATATATAGGTACAATTTTAAAAATGAAACACGAAAACGTTTAGTAAAGCTTTAGCGCTTTCATTTTCAATCTTCAGAAGCTTTACAATTGTAAAGCTTCTGAAGATTGAAAATGAAAGCGCTAAAGCTTTACTAAACGTTTTCGTGTTTCATTTTTAAAATTGTACCTATAATTTACCGAGCACTGTGGATTTATATTTATATTTCAATATATATATATATATATATATATATATATATATATATATATATATATATATATATATATATATATATATAAAGCATCTTCATGTATTTGCATATATACAATATACATACGTGCTTTTATTTTCTGAGCCGGGCTTGCGTGGCCCAACCTAAGAGATATCTAGGGTTTCGAGATATCCAGGGTAAAATACTTAAGGAAAAGTGATTGGGACTTCCAAATATCTTCGACATGTCCAAGGTATCTGATATTTAATTCTTGATATCAAAATTCATTTTGTGATATCAGAAATTCCTTTTTTGATATCAGAAAAAAAATTTAATATCAAGAATTCGAATTTCTGAAATCGAAAAATAATTTTCTAATATCAGAAAATGGATTTTTTGATATCAGAAAATGATTTTTTGATATCAGAAAATACCTCAAAAATATTAAAACGACGCCTCATAAACATCAGAAGTGGGATCAGGTGTCATGAAGGAATGAGCATCCCCTGCCGACTGGTCACAGCCGCTGTGTGCTCCTTTTCATGATAAGAAAAAAACCCCGAAATAATCCGTTGACAATTCAGTGTGAAAATAACGGCCTAACAATTACTATGAAAACGTCAGTCAGCAGTTTACTTATTGAATGGTCGTATTTGCTGACAAGGTAATAGTATCGACCATAAAACTTGCGAAGTGATGACTTCAAACGAGACTGTTGATATTCTGTTTCATCAATTTGTTTGTTTGGCTCGTTTTAGAAATTGTTTATACGCAGAACATGCTCTTTCGTATCGAATCAACTATGAAACAAAAACACCGTATGTCAAGTTACCAATAAAGTTTTTTTTCTAGTAAAATATCCAAATACGAAACATATGTGTCAGACTCTGTGGTATCTTTTATTTCAAGCTCACTGGGATATATCGAGTCCACATATGAATAGAAGTAACAATTATTAATTGATAATACGTTGCTGATATATCTAAATGTGGAGTTGAAGACCACAGCAAGTATTTTCTTCTTCTCATGTACAAGTTTTTATTTGATATGAATTTTTGCACACCGATCTTACACGTAATTTTGGATTTCGGACCGGTCGTTGATATGGGGTGTTGTGACATCACCTCGTATCGCACAGTGCGGAATCTGTAATTTTACTACTAAGTATATAATATCCACAGGTAAACAAGAACAAAAGCATGGCATAACGACAATATTTTAATTTTTTTTATACCTTGTTTGATTACCGCAGTATATATATAAAAAAAACATTTCATAAAAAACAAAGAGAAGATTCACAACGATGATCATTCTTTATTTGTATATATATTCAGATATACTGTGTTATGTGGGTGTAATTCTACATTTTATCTGCAGCCGGACATGCACTCGTCCACCCATTTGGAACAGAAAAGTCCGCACTCCTTACTATCTTCAGGACGTTTGCTACAGTCGTATAACTTCACACACTGGAGAAACGCATCAGTGCACGAGCTTTGACATTCCAAAACCTTGACGTCAGCGGCTATTTGGATGATGAGTCCTGACATTAATATTATCAACATTAGTTTCATCACCAATTCCATCTAAAAGAAATGGGGAAATAATAGATGAAAGGATAAATAATATATACCTAAAATATTTTGTTTCGATTAAACCAAAGGAACGTGTACCTGATGGAATACTTTTTATTTGAATATTAAATGAATTATTTGAAAAATCAACGATGTTAAACTTTTCTTATTTTCATGCAATTTTATCAAGAATCGTTGACCTTGTTTGGTAAATAAACATACGCTGTCATTAATATACAGCACAAATTCCTACAAAGGGTATACACGCTGGAGAGGACATTTTTAATTTGCATTATCCATCGAGTTGGAATTGTTACAATAGTGATATGATTTGGATGCACTATGCCGAAAAAGCCATAGGCTAGTGCACTATGTGTCAAACCCTAACTACTCTTTCGGCATAGGACATCAAAATCATAATTCTATTATAATTTTTAGGCTGACTGCTGTATGTATGCGACAATTTCATGAGTTTTCACTGCAAATCTTTTTTCCAGACGTTAAATCTAAATTTATTTTTTAACATTCTTTAATCAGCGTTATATCAAAAAGCGGTTCAATGACGCCGAAGTACCAGTTCATTCTATCTCGCAATTTTGATTATTTGATTAATTCGAATATTTGTTAGATAATACTTTGTCAATGATATCATTCATTTGGAGATGATATTCATTTATTTCTTGTTTTGTATCATTTGCATGAAACTACGTTTATATACTTGAAAATAATGTATCATTTCTGCCATCATCTGTAACGCGTTAGACTGATATTCTCGAGATAATGAGTTTGATCCCTAGCGTGGCTGCTACCATATTTGCTCCAGAAAAGATAGCCTTGCACTACTTTGACATAATATGATTACGCTATAGAAATCCTTCGTATACTATGCCAAAATAGTTTGGTATTGAATATATAGACACAAACTTATAGGAAGCATCATAATATATATTATCCCTTTGGTTTGTCAGTCAACTATACTCATTTTCATTTCAGCGAGTTTAATACAACAAATAATTTGATTTTTACCTGTACCATTTCCCCCCCAATTATAACCATGCCAGAAAGAGCTTTATACATCTCGTGTGACTTTTTGATTATTTCTTTGTGTCATTATCTGGTTGTCAATTTGTCAGATGGCATGGGTAACTTATCGATTATTAAGTGGTAAAGGCCAGATGGGGCTAAGGAGTTAAATTCTCTTCAATTATTCCCCTAGGTAGGGCTTTTATTATCTTAAAATCAAGCTCATAAATCAAGTAAACAAAATAAATTATTAACGGGGCAAAACCTCGGACTCATGGAGGTGACACCAGAAATGAAATAAGGTGCCTTAGCTTGGACAAGTAACCCTGTCGACATTTCACATAACTATAACTGATACATATCACTCCCTTATTCTCGCTTTAAGTAGGCTCTAAACACTGCACACTAAAGAGTTCTACTTATAGAGTAGTTTTATGCAGTTAGAGTGGTCTGCCCTTAGAAGTAAGATAGATAAAATGATTATTTACAGTTAATTACACAATCTGTAATAGATTAAAATATTCTTAGCATTATATTAGACAAAGAATAAGTAATTGAATTCATCATTTCCATTAATTTTCCCAATGTTGGTAAACAACAGTGATTTCGATAGTCCGTTGTCTTTGACATTTTTCCTGCAGAAATAAGGCAGGTACCCTTTGTTGAAAATGAACTAAATAGTCTCAATATGCACACCTTTATATGATATATTTTTCTCCAAGTCCAAAAAGCACTTTTTGTTACTGTTTAGAACTTCCTTAAAATGAGTTAATATTTGTGCAGAAGTTCCGATAAGAAGTGCATATAAAGCTATAATTACCAAAAGAATAAAACATTGCTTCAGTCATCAAGTGAAAGCCAATCACACGTACAAGAAAATTAAAAAAAAATAGTCAAAAAAAAAAAAAAAAAGAAAAAAGAAAAAAAGCTTAATAAAAAAAAGGTTGACAAATAAATAAACTTACCTTTTCCAACAACCAAAACAGGGATATTATTTCAATGAAGCGTTTTTTTGGATGCAGTGAGTTTGTATTTTTTTACGTTAAAGAAAAAGTTACTTTTATACTCTTTGGGACATACAGAGCGCAGCAATCGGCAAAAAACCCACATATTAACTAAAGGTCAATCACGGTACTGAAAGGATGATAAAATAATTTTATATCTTTAAGTGGAGAAAATATTGCCTAATTATGTGGAATATTTTGAGGTCGAAAGGGTAAAATCAGTAAATTTTAACATTCTGGATGACGGTATTTTACATCAATTATTAGATCTCATTTGAATTCATGACACTATTTGAAGTAATTTTCTTGTTATTGTAATCATTATTTCCTAGTTTATGTCTTAAAATTACATATAGCCAATGTAAAACCAGCATAAAGGTCACCGTGAAAGTTCGTATAAAAAATTTGATGACACTTATAAAGAATGTGCTAAAATTTTCAAGATAAAACAATATTAAATGTTCCGTAGAGGTTGAAAAAAATGAAAAAGTTGATAGTCGAGCTGATGACAAAAAACTTTGATAAGAAAAGCTCACTTTTTTTTTCTTAAAAGTTCAAGTCATATTGAGTTCAAAACGGATATTTTTGGAAAAAGTTACATGAATTAAACTTTTCATAGTAACCTGATAAAAATGGAATTCTGGGAATAGTTTTCCAAGATTTTTTATGTATATTTTCAAAAATCTAGTCGATATATCTTTACATCACGCACCAACATTTACTTTAGGTAATTTTTTCTATAATTTTTTGTTGAAAATGAAATCACAAAACCAAAAGCGAATCCAAAATTTATGAAGGTCGTCTGTGAGTAAAACCTGAAAACTATAAAGGGTCGTTTCTTCTAAAGAAAGCAACAAAAAGTAAATCCTGCTTTTATTATTGAAGCTGGTGCTCCCGTGTTCACCAGTAATACTGCATGGAAGTTATTGTTTTCGTCTTCTCTTCAAATTAGATAAGTTGCATAGAGTAAGGCGATACACAATCCCTTCTATTTTGTAACTAATTTGTCTTTAAACTGTAGTAGAAAAAATGTTGGTACCAATGATTACAATTTTATCTCTATAATTAAAAGAACCATACTTTTCTAATTACCTGGTACCATAAGGATGGTCATGATAAAATGCAGAAAGAGAGGAACTCATTCACAACAGAAAAGTACAAATTATTTTCCTTTGGGAATCAGTGACAATCTAGTCAGGCACGACATGATAAACATGTCGTGAAAATGACATGAAACTAGAATAACTATAAATTCAGCTTTTTACATTTTTGACAAATGAAATAATCTGAAGATCAGTATTATATCTGAAAGAGAAAATTAAACATTCATTATAAATCATACATTTTGCTTTTTTTTTACTCTTATGTGAAAAGCTTTAAAACACATATAGTTTATATTTTCACAAAAGATGAAACAAAGTCAGACTTAATTGAAAAGCTAAATAATTTGTAACAAATTTATTGATAGTAAACTGGAAGTCTAATATATAGACAGCATCAGTTTGAAGATGTAATGTTGACTTTTGACCTCTAAACCTTTTCTGTGAAATAAACAGATTTGGATGTACGCTTAAGATGTTTCCTGATCTCGGCGCCAGATTTCTCTTCCCAGTTAATACTTCTGATATCACAATATGACTAGATGTCTTTCAATCAGTGATATTTCATTTTCAATGCATTCGGCAATAACGTACGAGGGTTGATCTAAAAGAAATGTCACAAATGCTATAAAATCTTTAGTAATTAGAGGTTATCAACAAAATTTGATATACTGATGTGCCTATCTATTTTGATTTTTGCCTTAAAATTTCATTCGATTGTAAAATACTTTAATTTAAAAATATTAAGATAATCACAACATGGGGTTTTGCCTATCTTCGCACGACAAAAATGTTACCGACGTCGTTATGACGTTATTTTTGGTAGTTATTTTTAGTTCATCTGTATAATCTTTTTAACTATTTAGATATTTTTCATAAGTTAAGCTCAAGAAACACCGTTAGATGAAGAGCAACTTTATGGTAAATATTGTATCTATTTCAGTCAAAGGTTCAAAAACTCAGGCACAGACGCGATTTGATTATATCATTGTCAATTAAGTGACCTTGAGTAAAGATCATGGCACCTTTTCAACTTTTTTAAAAACAACATATTCAAATTGATTTCATTTAAATCAGCATTACTTAGACAGAAATGTCATGACATTCCCATTTTACTGACATACTTAGACATAACTGACAATGTACTGTTTTTGCTGCAAAACTTAAAAAAAATACTGAACTTTTAAACTGCTGGTGCTGATAAACTTAGAAAAGTACTTAAAATCTTAGCCATTGCTTATAAATTTAGACAATTACTAACCCATTTTGCTGTTCCTTCCTGAGAAACATATACAAGTGCAGACCTTTACTGATATTGAAAGCAGACAGCATATATCTAAAAGTCGAGTTGAAGACCACAGCAAGTGTTTTCTTCTTATCACGTATAAGACTTTGGACAAATTCTGCTTCATATGAATACAAAAAAAGGTCTGCTAATAACGGGGCGCAATTGGTTCTGATTCTACGCACAAATACTCTGAAAATAACATTAAAAAGATGCATGATTTCCTGATTGACAATATATATGTTCAAAGTCAAATCAAACATACAAATTGTGAGCATAACAAACACAGAACTCTGAAACAAGAGGAGGAATCAGGTGTCAAGGAGGAGTTAGCATCCCCTGTCGACCAGTCAAACCCACCGTACGGTCTTTGTCATGATCGGGTAAACGAAAAAATCAATAGACAATTCAGTGTAAAAATTCTGGGTGTCCGTCAATATTCGACTTAACGATTTTATTTATGTAACAAAGTACCATTAGCACCTGCATATGATGTATTTTTCCAGTTGATTCGATAGGCAAGAACATGTTCTACGTGCCCATCTTTTCTAAACTGAGGCAGACTACTGACAAATAAGTTGATACAAAGGTATCAGCAATCAAGTTAAAGTCAACACTTAATTAATTTATGGTCGATATAATGGCCTTGTGCACAAAAACAATCTGTGGTAAGGTCAAAATTAACTTACTCTCCAAGTAATTTTTAGGACATAATTTTTACTGGATTGTCTTTGTTTACAAATGTTACAAGTGCATAAGTCTTACGCAAGGAAATAGCCAATGATGAATCAAAATGAACTTTGTCAATTATAGTTCTGTATACATTGTATAGAGATACAATCTCTTTTCATTTCTTTTTCGGTATTTTCTAGGCCTACAGTATAATTTAAGACTCATTTACTAGGAATATTATAACTTAAGTGGAATTGTCCCACTGAATTAAGGGGAACGCTTTTTAAGGTGCACATGATGCAACTTCCTGGATGGAGTGTAGCTACTTGTCAACATGTGAAACCCACCTGTATTTTGAGGTAAGTATAATTATCTGATAAAAGATTAAAGATGCCGTATTTTGCTAATTTTACCTATTTTACCTATTCCATTAATCCGTAAAATTTAAACACTTTAATCTTTGCAGCCTTAAAAACACAAACGTTAAGATTTACTGCATTAAAAAAGTAAAGATTTTCCATTTTGTGAACATTAATTACCAGCATGTGTGTCCTGATTTTCAACCTCATTTTACGGAACATGAAAATTTTCTCCAAATGAATGACACTGTTTGTATTGCATAATCAATTTTCTCTTTGACAGTCACACTACTGCAGTGCTTGTCTTTTAAAGCTGATTAAATAACTGTTTTTAAATAGAAAGAACACACCTCTCACTGTGTTTTTGCACGGTTTTTTATCAGAAAAATAATGAATATCTGTTAAAACTTAACACATAATTTTCATAAAACAAGACCCCCTCTCTTCTCACATCTACTTCACATGAAATTCTTAACGGCCCTTGCGAGAATGTTTAGGGGAGGGGACGAATTTAATTTTCTTAAGAGATAAAATAAGACTTTCAGTATATAAATAAAAACATATGCCATATTAACTATCAAAATTTGGGATGAATAAAGTAAAGTTTTACATTTAATAAATGCAAGCACAATCACTGCTTAGCAAAAATGTAAATACTTTGATTCTGCTTATTTCTTCAATTAAATCCGAAGATAATGAACAGTAATCAAGCTCGAAAGTCCATTGAAACAATACAAGTTGGGAGAAGAGCAAACACAGACCTCTTAAAACATTAGAATTGGCATCAGGTGCCATGAAATAATAAGAATATGCATCCCCTGTCGACCGGTCACAACCGACGTGTGTTCCTTGTCCTGAAAACTGAAAATCAATGTGAAAAATATGACCTAGCAATTTGTATGAAAAACGTCAGTCAAAATTCAACTTAACAATAGACTGTATTTACTATAGAATTTTGGAAATATTTATTTAAAACGAGATTGTTGATATTCTTGTATCATCAAGTCTGTTTGTTTGTTTATTGTTTAACGTCTCTCTCGAGAACTTTTCAATCACCACTTGCCGATGGGGGGGGGGGGGGGGGGAGCTGCAAATTTATACCTATACTCGGCACTCAGGGTCATTGAATAGTGTCAATACAACGTCCGTAAACGCTTTTGAAAGAAAGAAATCGAAAATAAAACGTCTTCACCTTGTTAAATCGTGGAAATCGAATAATATTTAAAATCTATGTCACAGCTGTTTGCAGCATTGACATTGAATCATTTCTAAATTAGCGTTCTTTGGATAGAGTTAATTATTGTTAAATATTACAAATGGTATTCGGCAACCATTGATTTGAAATGATCATAGAATTTGAAACTCTGGCTAGAGTGGCTAGTCGTTAAACCTTACAAATGTCTTGTAACCACTGATCTGATTCTTTATGATCTAAGAATTGATCACGATATTGATTTTAAGTGAGTAACTTAGTCCTTATAATTTTTCAGATGTGTCATTTGTGCCATTTTCCTGTAGAAAATGCTGTTGAGACAATATGTTGCCATCCTGTATATAGGAACGTCAAATGCGTTACTGGTACTTGAGAACG